TCCACATATGTGGTTTTGAAACCATGAAGAACAATATAATGAGGTCAGTTTTCCTGTGGAAAAATGCCTAATATAATTTAATAAAAACTGACTCCTATTCATTTCAATAAAAATGCACGGCATTGTCTAAAATGATGTTTGTCTTTGAAGAACTGGTCATATTGATGATTATTCATACCGACACAAATTTGGTAAAGATCGCACCACTGATAGCTGAGATATAGAGGAGGGGGGCGTTTGAAATGAGACACGCTGTATAAAAATGTGTCATTGAAGTACATCATGGGTATATAAAGCAGTGGCGGCTCCTCAGAGGAGGCAACGGAGGCTGAGCCTCCTCAGAGATTTTCCTTAAACTAATATTATTTACACTTTCTCATTAAAAAAACACCAAAATACATGGATTTTGATTTTATTTCCAGTTTTTAGGTAAATATTTTTGAATTGGCAACAGTGCTTGCCCACGCATCACACGTTGAAGTCTGCAAATCACGCGTAAAATATTCAACTTGGCAACATCTATAGGAGGCTAGACTCCTTCACATCGCGCAACCTACGCGCGCAATGCAAATGCCCGAATACGCCCGAATAGCACGTGTTTGTCTTGACGCTTCGCGAATTGCGGACAAACGCGAGTGCATTGTTTATGTTTATGTTAGGCTAATGGTTAGGGGCTCTATAAATTTCTGAAAAATGAGTGTTTTAAACGATTGCTATTTAGTAGAATACTTTTTGGTGAACCAATTCAGTGCTTTGTCTTATGAAGATAAATTGATTGTGAAAAACAAACGTCCGACACCGGAATTAAAATATCTGATTGTAACAGGTAACAAACAAAATCGTTCGTTCAATTCTGATAATTATAAAAAATATATCTGGATGACGGGATCTGAGGTAGAGAATAAGCTATTTTGTTGGTACTGCGTATTATTTTCAACCGATTAGTCATCATGTTGGGGGCGATTTGGATATAATGATTTGAAAAATTTGCCTCGCGGGTTGGATAGACACTGCAAATCACAGGAACACATCTCTTCAAGTACTAAGTTCAGGTTAACTGGTAAACAGAATGTCATTAAAGCTATTGATTTGGGTGAGTAGAGAGTTGTTTTTCACAATAAATCTCATATCATTCAGCCTCCTCTGTCATGAAAGTCACGAGCCGCCACTGATATAAAGTGTCCAATGACAAAATAATAAGAGCAATTAGCTGTAAATGCATCCAACACAAAGGGAAAAAGAAGGCGAAATTTCGATCTTTTCCTTGGAATAATTCGATAAATAGTGGTTTGTTCACATTTTCATTATCAAATTCGTGTTTTTCAGACAAAAATAAAATTTTGAAAAAAAAAACCCATCGCATGATAAATGCAGTTTTACCGAAATTTGCAACCGGCCCTCCTACTATGGTAATCATTTTTGAAGAGGAAAACTGTCCCGTGGCCCGTGGACTATAATTATTATCGTTCAAGCTGAACAATACGAGTGATTGAAACAGTGTTGTCTGACGCTTCCAATATAAAGTTGACTTACGATTTCAGTAAAGAAGTTTTTCCCCTCTGAAAAATTAAAGAACTAGGACACTTTGAGCTAAGAGGCAGCTATAGAACAGACTTTGGTCAAACCTTTCACACCAATTCGCCGGTACTATTTCCATTTCTTCGCCTGGACACTATCGAAAAATTCTCTTACAGGAATTATGAATGAGAGGTGAATTGGAAATATCTCGCCCTAGCAAAGCTAGGGAAATACTACGAAGAAAGTATTTTATTAATAAGTATTAAATACTTGACTGGATTGAGAATATTTTGGTATTGGATATTTTCAAAGGTCAAGAAGTATTTAAGTAACAAAGACAAACATTCAAGCAACTTTCTAAAAACAAATGCTTTGAGAGGATGAACCATGCATTTTTTAACTTTTTGGGGCCACTTTCTATAGTACAAAATTTCTCTTTTCAATAAACAAAAAACTGCAAAGTTTTAGATTGTAATATACAGTGTGTCCCACTTACTATGCTCACCATGGGTATCTTTTTGACGGTGAGAGATACGAGATCGGTTAAATGACACCAAATGTGTTTGTCAAGGCCAACTATAATGTGAAAAAATATTTTGATAAAATCTATTCGTTTTTGTTTTATACGCAAAAAACAGATTTTGATCAATTTCATGTCTCTTTCGTAACTTCTTTATTTATGAAAATATTCAAATAGGAATTTCACAATCTCATGGCAGTTTTTCAAAGTGATTTCGAAAAAAATAGGAAATTTATACCAACTCTTCTAGAATTTGAGATATTAGTTTTTCAAATGTAGGTCATAGATGCTATGTCGCAGTAATAGTTTTGTGTTGATAACAACGGAGTTATCGTCATTTATACAAAACCAACAAATTAATTGGAAGCCGCCATCTTGAATTTATAAATTTTAACAAAAAAATCATGATCTCCGACCTCAAAAGCCCCCACTTACTAATTTTGAATGGAATCGGACCAAATCTTGTCCGCCATCTTGGAGCAGCCATTTTTTTTTTAATTTCAACAAAAATTCCATACTCCGATTAACTTGAAATTTGGCAGGTGTTCATAATTTCGGTGACAATACATTATGGAATTTTCGTTGAAATTAAAAAAAATGGCTGCTCTAAGATGGTATATTTCTCGCTCCAGTAAATTTCAGGATCCTTACACAACGATTACGTAAGATACAGGGGTGTTTCCATTAGAAGTAGGTCACACTATAAATTTTCTGGAAGTGATTTGAAGGCAGCTAACTGCATTTGTATTGAAAAATTAAATTCTAAGCTATAGAACGGCGAAGCTTTGGAATTCTCTACCAATGGAAGTATTCCAAGAATTAAAACCATCCAAAAGTAAAAAAAAAATCAACACCTACCTCCACTCCCTATCCTCCCTAGGTACGTACGATATTCCACTAACATCATAGGAATCTCCTTTCGTGCGCCCCAAGAGATAAAAAATGTGAAAATCATATTTTATTTAAGAAAAAACACTTCCAGACGAACCTACATTTTTCAATACCAGAATTTTTCCGATAACATCATTTTTGAAGTAGTGCATCAATGCCACCACAGCACCAATCGACTCCTAATCTTAACCATGCTGAAACGACATTGCAAACATTGGGAAACTTTCAAAAACGCCAGGAAAGCGTTACGCAAGCGTCAAAGTATCGATAAAACGTGAAGAAAACGTCACGCCTACGTCGAAAAGTAGCGAAAAAACGTGAAAAAGTTTGTTAACAAACGCGTGAAGCTGTCGAGAAGTTTTCGTAGGTTTTTTTCAACGTTTTTTCGATACTTCTCGACGTTTCAACGCATGCGTAACGCTTTTGTGAATTTTTTTCAATATGAAACATACATGATTTCCTTGACTTTTTTCTCAACTTTTCGACATTTTGACATGTGCGTAAGACTTTCGTGACGTTTTCTTCAAGTTTTTCGATACTGAAAAGCATGCGTGACGGTTTTCTGAAGATTTTTTAACTGTTATCGACGTTTGGGCGCATGCGCGATGCTGTTGTGACGCTTTCGTGACGTTCATCAACTTTTTCATTGCCCTTTTCAACGTTTTGACGAATGCGTGATGATTTCTTTACACTTTCTTTACATTTTCTCACATTTTTTGACACTCTCGATACATGCGTAACACTTTCTCAACGTTTTTCAACGTTTTCATGAAGTTTCTGAATTTTTCATCGACACTTTTCAACGTCTTGAAACATGCGTGAAGCTTTCGTAACGTTCATTCTACTCTTTACGACTTTTCTTGCTATTGTGAAGTTCTCCAAATTTTTTTCGAAACTTCTTGACGTTTTGACGCATGCGTAACACTTTCTTGACGTTTTCTTCAAGTTTTTCGACGTTGAAAAGCATGCGTGACGGTTTTTTAACGTTTATTCGACTTTATTCGCATGCGCGATACTGTCGACCTTTTTTTCAAGGTCTTAGACATTTTCAAGTATGCGTGTATTTTTCGACGTTATGAAGTATGCGTGATGATTTTTATCGACGTTTCGACGCATTTGTGACGCTTTCGTGACGTTCAATAACGTTTTCATGGCCCTTTCAACGTTTTGACGAATGCGTGATGATTTCTTGACATTTTCTTTGAATTTTTTGACGTTTTATGACACTCTCGATAGATGCGTAACACTTTCTCAACGTTTTCATGAAGTTTCTGAATTCTTCATCGACACTTTTCAACGTTTTAGAACATGCGTAAAGCTTTCGTGACGTTTATTCTACTCTTTACGACTTTTAATGCTATTGTGAAGTTCTCCAAGTTGTTTTCGAAACTTCTTGACGTTTTGACGCATGCGTAACACCTTCTTGACGTTTTCTTCAAGTTTTTCGACGTTGAAAAGCATGCGTGACGGTTTACTAACGTTTTTTCGACTTTTATCGACTTTTGGACGCATGCGCGATGCTGTCGTGACATTGTTTCAAGGTCTTAGACGTTTTGAAGTATGCGTGTTTTTTTCGACGTTTTGAAGTATGCGTGATGATTCTTTCTACGTTTCGAAGCATTTGTGACGCTTTCATGACGTTCATTAACGTTTTCATGGCCCTTTTCAAACGTTTTGACGAATGCGTGATGATTCCTCGACATTTTCTTCACGGTTTTTCACGTTTTATAACACTCTCGATACATGCGTAACACTTTCTCAACGTTTTCAATACTTCATCGACACTTTTCAACGTCTTCAAACATGCGTAAATCTTTCGTGCCGTTCATTCTACTCTTTACGACTTTTCGACGCATGTGTTATGCTATTGTGAAGTACTCGCAAGTTTTTTTTTCAAAACTTCTTGACGTTTTGACGCATGCATAACGTTTTCGTGACGACCTGTTCCAAATTCACCCCTCATTCATCGAATCCCGCGAACGAAAACGGCAAACGAAACACAAAACACAAAAATCTCCCTGCGACCCGTAGAGCAAAAAAACAACGTATGGGACACCAGGTGGGAACTTACTTGGAGGAGTGGGAGGGAGGAGGAGGGAGGAGAAAAAGAGAGCCGGGCCTTCCGCGCAGGCGCCGGCCCTCGCGACGACGACCAATCATTCGGGGTTCCACCCCGTGATGCGAGGACCCGCCGCTCGTCATACGTAGACGGGCCCGCCCTGGTTGTCATTGTCGTCCAAGTTGATTTTGTTGAAGGCCGCCAGACCGCCGTCGTCGAAGAACCTCCTGGAAATGTTCGAAATTGTTCAAGTTTATTTACCGAACGTTTTTATCCGGCACGGGAAATTTTCAATATGGACATGAAATGAAAATACAAATAAACTACTCAACACTAATTTCGTCGCACACCAAAATGTCGCCCCTGATATAATGTGAATAACTTTTTTCAGTTTAGAACAATTTGAATTTGGTTCACACTGTTCGATAGCCCAGTCCTTCAGCTATAATCTCGTACTTCATTGAAACATAAGGGTATTCACATAAAATCTCTACATGGTGTTTTCCGACACTGTGCGAAATTTCGGAATATTCAAAAGGCTCTCAAATGGTGAAAAAAAATGTTTTCTCAACTTCGACAACAGGGGCATGAAGATGATCTCATTACCTCGAGATATTTCGCGAATCAACTTCCTATCTCTCTTATTTACAGGGTCTCAAAAAATCGACTTTTTGGTTTTGCAGCCATAACTTTTTTCCACGTCAACCGATTTTGGAAATCTTAGGCTCCTTTTGAAGATAAAACTTCAGATGAAGAGATCTGAATATCAGAATTGACTCAAGATGGCTATCAAAGATCTAGAGTTTTCTTGAAAGTGACCCAAATCTGGAACGCCCTCCGAATCTCGGTTGGGAGGAGAATTGAATGAAAATCAACTTGTTCTCGAAAAAACAATTAATTCTGGATGAGTCCATATTTTCCCCGCTCTAAGTACTCAAGAATTGTGCGTGAGAAAACACAATTGAAACATGTTCTTGCAAAAACATCAGACCATTTCTCCTCTGTGATGCATGGCCCGTAACCAACGTTACAAGAATCACAGTAAGTGACTGACAAGTCAGGTTAGACGTCGTTTTCGAATCATAAACAGATTTTGATAGTTTCGATGCCGCATCTAACAACCGACCAGTTGGAACTGATTCCACAAATGAGGGAACAAGGTTTATCTTCCCTCCAAATCGCGGATCTGCTAAACACGACAGTCCGATCTATTGAAAGGGCTTATCTCCGACACGAATTTTTTGTTTATTACTGTCGATTCGTTCGACGCATTATTGCGACTCAAAACTTTACGTAATTGGCAAACTGTTTTCGTGAAATTTTCACCATTTTTGAAATGCGTTTTCACAATAAATAAACGTTGTTTGCTTGAATACTTCTCCATATTCTTAAATCGCATGTTATGTACGTGACAACTGTTAAAAAAATCACTTTATTGAAAAAATCAAAATCCGTTGCTCTTGTTGGTACACCATATATGATGAGTCTCAGCTGGTCGGGTTTGTCAGTCACTCATTGTGATTCTTGTAACGTTGGTTACGGCGGGCCATGCATTACAGAGTAGAAATGATCTAATGTTTTTGCAAGAACATGTTTCAATTGTGTTTTCTCACGCACAATTCTTGACTACTGAGAGCGAGGACAATATGGACGCATCCAGAATGAATTGTTTTTCCGAGAACAAGTTGATTTTCATTCAATTCTCCTCCCAACCGAGATTCGGAGGGCGTTCCAGATTTGGGTCACTTTCAAGAAAACTCTAGATCTTTGATAGCCATCTTGAGTCAATTCTGATATTTAGATCTCTTCATCTTAAGTTTTATCTTCAAAATGAGCCTAAGATTTCCAAAATCGGTTGACGTAAAAAAAAGTTATGGCTGCAAAACCAAAAAGTTGATTTTTTGAGATCACCCTGTAAATAAGAGAGATAGGAAGTTGATTCGCGAAATATCTCGAGGTAATGAGATCATCTTCATGCCTCTGTTGTCGAAGTTGAGAAAACATTTTTTTTCGCCATTTGAGAGCCTTTTGAATATTCCGAAATTTCGCACAGTGTCGGAAAACACCATGTAGAGATTTTATGTATGAAGTACGAGATTATAGCTGAAGGACTGGGCTATCGAACAGTGTGAGAACCAAATTCAAATTGTTCTAAACTGAAAAAAGTTATTCACATTATAACAGAAGCGACATTTTGGTGTGCGACGAAATTAGTGTTGAGTAGTTTAGTCCAAACATAAGTATGAGCCACACACATACAGTTTAGATATTTATTAAATCGCTTTAAGTTTTGTTGAAATAAAAATGGTACACAATGCATTTTCCACCTGGTACCAACCTATTTTTGGAATACCATGAAATATCCACAGATACTAATTCAAACCCATGAAGGAAATCCGCTGTCAGATTCAGTAGTGAACTTATCCATAATATTTCCAAAATTAGCGGTTTACGTAATGTAGGTTCATACAGGTGGATTTTTTTTTTAAATTTCTAATGGCCCTAACAATCCCAAAATATTCTTAGACTGATTAATTTTCCTTTATATTTTAAAAATTAGCGGTTCAAGCAATGCAGTAGACTCATACCGAAGAATTAAACAGTCAGATATAAACAGTTCACTTTGTACATCACAATATCAACACATCAAATCAATTCATACCTGAAAGTGAACTCGAAGAACCCGTGGAACAACTTCGAATTGTCCACCACCTCCTCCGACGTGCTCGAATCCAACGACGCCGAATTCCGCAACCGATCAGGATCGATCGGATCAAAGTTCGACGTGTCGGTCGGATAGTCGATGCGCGGCTTGTGGGGCGCCGCCTGTCTGCGCAGCCCCCGCTCGAAGTCGATCGACCGGAAGAACGGGTGCTGCTTCACCTCGCTGGCGTTCTTGCCCACTCGCTTGTCCGCGCTGCAGCACAGCTTCGAAATCAGATCGGTGCTTTCCGGAGAGAGGTTGGCTTGTTTGGGGATTTGAAGGGTAGTTTCCCAATTGATCACCTAGCGAACGAGAAGAAATTCGCGTCACAACGAGTCGAATTATTGTTGATTTAAGGAAATTGGCGCAGTCGGTAGGATTCTTGAATCCTTACCGTATCCACCGAATATGTTCGATAATTGATAGATAGTATGGATATGGTAATGAAATAAAGATTGATTTGAGAACTGCAATCCTTCTTCATTTAGTATTTTAATTGGTTAATCTATTATACTATTATATAGGGTCAATTGAGTACTAAACAGTATGCGCGAGTTTATTTCAGCGTAAATCTGAGTACTATCTCTGTCCTTCGCAGATTGAAAAAAATCACATTGCAATAGGCTGTCCCCATTTGAGGACACCAGAAACGAACCAGTTCTTCTTCTCACCTTTTACTGCGTCTCGGCGGGCGTGTTGGCCAAGAGAGGCAGCTGCCCCACCAACATCTCGTACAAATGACGACCACGCCCCACCAGTCGCATACGTGCGTGTAGCCGATCTTTTGCAGTACATCGGGCGCTATGTAGTTGGGCGTACCGACCACCTACTGGGCTAGACAGCCTAAATGTTCACTGTCTTGATTTGAAATCTTCCTAAGTGCGCTAGTTCTCATCTTAAAACCCAGATGTACCTATTGTACTATATCAAGTACGGTCCTAACAAGTCTCAACTTGTAGCGGATTTCTGGCGCGCGTGATCCAACGCTGTGGCGAATGCTTCAGTATAGTCAGATCATTGTGCCTGTGCAGACTAAGTCAGTTCTTAGGAGTGGAAGTGCGAATTTGATTCTTTCAAAGAATAGATATAAATAGAAATGGCTGAATTCGGTGTAACCTTTGCTAGGTAAGTCGATTTGAAGTATAGAAAATGGAGATAAATCCTATAATTGGCTGGTAATAATATGATGAATAATGATTATATCATGAATTGATTAGATACATCCATTATTCTAATGAATGATATTTTTTCAAGAACGACTTTTAGGGATGTACTAAATATAGTACATCAGGCTGATGAAGGTCTATCAATATCATTTCATTTCAGAGGTTTCTCTCTCAACGAAGCTCTTGCTATGTTAGAAGATGATGTTGAAACTGCTGAAACTGTTGATGAAATCATCATGTTACCACCAGAAAATGCAACGGCTGAAATTACAGATGAAGATTCTGGAGCGGAGGATATTTTTACAATTGATAATCTACCTGCATCGCAGTTACAAGCACAAGCGGAAATCAGATTTCAAACTGATGATGATAATTCATCAGAGGACGAAATGCCCTTGTCCGAGTTACGTAAAAGTTTGAAATCATCGGTGAAAAAAAACAAGAAGAGAACATTGAAGAAGAAGTACGAGTGGGCTCAGGAAGACTTGCCTACATCAGAAACAGTCTTTGAGGATTTTCATGAAACAAGAGATTTGGAGAGTCCAATGGAGTATTTCTCGAAATTCTTTGATGAAGAAATGATGGATCTTTTCGTGAGTAACAGCAATAAATATGCCCAACAGAAAAATCGAACACCAAATATAAAACATTCAGAATTCAAAGCATTCATTGGAGTTATATTGCTCAGTGGATATATACAAGTCCCAAGGAGAAGAATGTATTGGGAGCGCGAAAAAGATGGTCACAACGAGTTGGTGGCCGAAGCGATTTCAAGAGACCGATTCGAATATCTATTTTCCAATTTACATGTATCAGATAATCATCACTTAGACCAAAATGACAAATTCGCGAAAGTGAGGCCCCTTTTCGATCTTCTGAATAAAAAGTTCTTGGAGAACTCGTTTGTCGAAGAAATGCACTCAATTGATGAGGCCATGGTACCTTATTACGGGCGCCATGGCTGCAAACAGTACATTCACGGAAAGCCAATAAGATATGGCTTCAAATTATGGGTTGGAAGTACTAGACTTGGTTACTTGAATTGGTTTGAACCGTACCAAGGGGCTGCAACGAATATAAGTGAACGGTATGCAGAGTTTGGAGTTGGTGCAGCAGTCGTTTTAGAATATGCACAAGCCTTGCGAAAGAAATGGATGGATAAAAAATTCCATCTGTTTTTCGACAACTTTTTCACGTCCATTCCTCTGATTGAAGAGCTGACGAAAGAACATTTTCACGCAACCGGTACAGCCAGAGAAAACCGATTGGCAGGAAATACTCTCATAAACTCGAAAATTTTGAAGAAAGAGAAGCGAGGAACCTATGATTATAAAAAAATTTCTGATCAAAATATTATAGCAGTGAAGTGGCACGACAACAACATTGTAACTCTTTGTTCCAACTATTCAGGTGTAGAACCCCTTCATATTGTCAAACGCTACTCACAGAAAGAAAAGAAAAATATTCAGGTGGATAAAGTCAATTTTTGTTGTTGTATAATGTAATCTATAATTCATTTCAGGTGGAGCAACCACATCTAATCAACATGTATAACGCAAATATGGGAGGAGTTGACCGCTCCGACCAGAATATCAGCTTGTATCGCACATCTCTGAGAGGAAAAAAATGGTATTTTCCTTTGCTTACACACTGCATAGATATGTGCGTTCAGAACGCTTGGCAATTACATAGAAAAAATGGAGGTAACCTAGATCAGCTGAATTTCAGAAGACGAATCGCCACAATGTTGCTCATTCAGAACAAAAAGCAAGTAACTTTCCAGAAGGGACATTCGAGTAAAACACAAGGAGTTGATTTGCGATACGACCGATTAGACCATCTTGTGATTGCACAGGCAAAACAGACACGGTGTGGATACTGTCATGAGAGAACAACAACAAGGTGCTCAAAATGTGACATTGGAGTACACGTGAAATGCTTCGTTTTATTCCATACAAAATGATACAACATTCTTTTCATAGTAGTGCTCCTGCCTAATGTACTATATGTAGTACGGTCTAAATTTTGTATTTTTTCGTGAAATAAATGTTTTTTTCGAGTCTCTATGTCTTTTTTGTCACTCATAAGCTCTAGTTTCAGTAAATTGATTCTTCGATATTTTCGATTAACGCTATAGGCATATCTGGGTTAATTAATAATGTTTGCGAGTCCTTGCCTCCATCATATTGTTTCCCGTCATATGGCATATTGCAGTAAGCACAGCGTAGGTTAATGGTGTGTTTTAAATCATCCGCAGTGCGTACACATCAGCCATCTTTTCCAAATCGATCACGTGGTATGTTTGCTTGAACTGCTTGTTACTACCTGTCAAAGCTCCAGCTGCTTGGCATTCACTGTTACTCAAGGTAGTCTTGAGTTCCCCTTTGTATCCTTTGTGAAGAACTTGACAGTCTTGAAGGTTTGATTTGAATGGATCCGGCTCGAAGGACCACAATGTGTTCGATGCTTATTCATTGACTTTATTGATAAATATCATGTTTCAACAAAACGTCATGTTAACAAAAGAAAATCTTTTATACTATATACGGCAATATAAGTACAAAACTATTTTATAGTAGAATTAGCACTGTCCTTCATAGCTTGATAAAAATCGAATAAAAATAGGTTGTCCCCATTTGAGGACACGAAGTACTTTGCTCTTCATTTTAGAGTAGGAAAAGAGATAGGTCAGACAGTAGGTATGGGGACACTTGAAACAGTAAGTATAAGGTACTTCTGACAATAGGTACGAACACTTCGGACAGGCACTACCTTTATCCTTCACAGCTTGGTAAAAATCACATAAAAATAGGCCGTCCTCATTTGGGGACACAACGAACAAAAAGAGTTCTTCTTTAGATATTTCTAGAGTAGGCAAAGGGATAGTTCAGACAGTACGTATGGGGACACTTCGGACAGGAACTACCTTTATGCTTCACATAGAAGCCGTCCCCATTTGGGGACACAACGAAGAAAAAGCGTTCTTCTTCTCACCTTGTACTGCGTCTCGGCGGGCGTGTTGGCCAAGAAGGGGGGCTGCCCCACCAGCATCTCGTACAAGATAACGCCCACGCTCCACCAGTCGCACACGTGCGTGTAGCCGGTCCTTTGCAGCACCTCGGGCGCTATATAGTTGGGCGTGCCGACGAGCGAGTGAGCGAGGCAGCGGTGTTCGCGCCGCCTACGCCTTTCCAAAGGCTTCAGGCTTTTGCACTTGCACTCCTCGTTCCAGTCCTCAATGGGGTCCATCGAGTCTTGCCGGTTGTGGTCGCCTGAGAAGGCACGTCAGCGTGAATATTGTGGTTTTGAATGCCGACCGGCCTGACCGACCCTGGACCGACTAGTCGCTGGAGTCACGTGACTGATCACAATGACAAATACGAATAATTTTGGTCGGTCGCTTGTATACAAGAACCTTGAAACTTAAAAACTGCAAACCTCACAGATCAATCGATGGTGTACCGAAAATAGGGCATAACCTGACATTCTAAGAATCAGATATTGTTGTTCTTTATTACCCCAAGAAACATATTTGTTTATAATATTATGATAATAGGAAGCATCACTTCTATCACTCATTGAATTCCTCTTGATAGATTTTGTAGATGAAATAATAATTTTGAACTGTATTCGCGAGAATCAATGATACCAGGTGGCGCTCGGTTTTCATCGTTCCATGTCAAAGCCACGTCAAAACTGGGGGAAAACAAACTCAATCCTCACTCAATCCCATTAGTGCCATTAGCTTGTGTACTGTGTACTGATAAGAGTGATGAGATTTTAAATTTCTTGACATCAATTGTCAATATTCGATCGAAAACGCTAATAATGCCTGTTGTAGGTGTTCTTTTGGCAAATATTTTGCTCTATTTAGACGGAAAAGGCCGACCAGTAGTGGAAGTAGAAATAGTTCTCCGTGCTAATCATGTGATTTTGTGTGAGGCAGGAGACTTCAACAAAAGGCACAAATTTGCACTTTGTCTACAAACTTCGGCGATGAAATTTTCCTCACATGAAGTAAAATTGAAGTTGGGGCCCAGAGAAACTCCTGTAGAACTATGGATTTGTATTTTTTTCATGCAAAGCAGGACAATCTGGGTATTGTGAACATGTTGTAGCTGTTCTTTTGATTTGAATATGTCAATTGATTTGCTCGTCATAATTAGTTTGAATTGTTTGAACTATCTCCAATTCTTCACTCGTTCACTGTTCACTAAACTAATGAAAATGTAATAATGTAAAAAAAAACAACTCATCCATCATCACTACCAACAGTGCCAACACTTTATGTCATTGACAACAGTTTGTTTTCCCCTAGTTTGAAGTTCGTATTATGTAACCTAGATATCGCCCACTTCATGAATCTCGCGCATATTAGAAATAATATACTCAAGTGAATCATCATTTCAAAAACTGTAAATAGTTTTTGAGGAGATTCATTGTTTCGAGGTTTGGTCTTGGATCGGTCGGTCTTGGTCTTCAATATAAAACGTTACTATTTGGAGTTTGGTCAATGCGGTAATTGATCTGAAACTCTGTTGTGGAAGTGTAGTTAAAGTGGTCGCAACCAGTAGGCAATCAAAAACTCTGCTATACTAGGTGTGGGGGTACTTGCGACAGTAGATATAGGGACGCTCGGGACAGTAGGTATGATAAGACCTGGGGTAAATGGTGGCTGAATTGAAATGTACAAATAATTGGAATTCTTTCTTGCAAAAAAAAAATATTCGTAAAATCTTGGTGTATTGAAGCTTTGTGCGAAAAAAGTTTAATTTGAAAGATTTTCATGTTTTGAAATTCAGTAATATTCTGTAGAGTTTAAAGAAGTCTATTAAGGTTTTTTTTAATGTTCAAGGGAAGCTTCCGAATTTCATGACATTTAATGAAATTCTTTGTCATTTTCTGAATCTTTTTCGATTTCGAAACATTTGTAACAAGAATAGGGAGTTTTTTGGAAATTTCATTCAATGTCTTGAAAAACAAGAAAAATTCTTTGAATATTTAGAATTTATTGAAATCCCTCAAAATGCATTGAAATTCGTTGAATTTCTTTGAATTTCTTCATAGGATTGCACAAAATTTGTGGAATTCATCGGACATTCTTTTGACTCGATTTCTGATAATCGTATAAATGAACTTAATCTTTCATGCTTTCCTCACAAAAAAAATTTAGTTTGCTGTGAAAATTGCAATATTTTGAAGAATGAGTATTTTTTAGTAGGTATGGGGACACTTTAGACAGTAGGCATGGGAACACTTCAGGCAGTAGATATGGGCAAATTTTAGACAGTCAGACACGTGAAAAAAAAAAGGAAATCAGATTACTCATTGGATAATAACTCACCATTCGGTTGGTAATACTTGGAATTATGCGTCCAACGGAAACCCGTGCACAGACCGAAGTCCGTCAACTTGATGTGCCCGTCTTTGTCTATCAAAATGTTGTCGGGCTTGATGTCCCTATGGATGAAGCCCATCTTGTGGACACTTTCGACGGCGCACGTCAATTCCGCTATGTAAAATCTGCAAAGAAACCGTTAAGCGTCATAAAAAATCTCAAGAATGATAACAAAAGTTCAAATTATCTGACCTCATACAGTTTCTTTCAGAGAGTTGGCGTTATAAGAGAGAAACTATTTATAATGATTTATTTTCACGTTCGACTTGGGCGTTGAATTTTCCTTTAAAGATCATGAAAATAGCCAATTCCGTCGGGGTCACGCCACTTTCGCTACTTGTCGAAAGTTTAATTTTTTTCAACTTAGTCGCTAAAAATAGGTTTATTTGTTTATTTAAAAAAATTTCGCAATTTACTATAGTCTTTATAATATTAACTATATGCCCATGATTCCACAGCGTATTAATTCACCATTTAATCCATTAATCGTGATTGGATTTTAAGTAAATTAATTTATCTTACGAGTTCATCACCTGAAGAATCTATAGTTGAAACTTTTAGGAACCTAAACATTCGTAAACTACCAACAGACTAGTCAATACCATTCTCTTTTGGTCAAATCAACAAATACTACTCACCTGGCTAGACTCTCCTCGAAGATGCCCAACTTGATGAGCAGCGACATCAAATCCCCGCCGGGTATGTAGTCCATGACGAAGTACAGGATGTCCGAGTCCTGAAACGAGTAGTACAGTTTGACCACCCACTCGTTGTCGGCCTCGGCCAGGATGTCACGCTCCGCTTTCACGTGCGCCACCTGGTTCCTCTTCAGCACGTCGGCTTTCCTCAGGGTCTTCATCGCATAGAGGTGATTGGTGTCGATCTTCCGGACCAGGGTGACTTCGCCGAAAGCCCCCACACCTAAAGAAAAATGTGTTCTTTGAATCATGTTCTCCTGTTGTGTCTTGTTTGCCCAATATTTGATATTTGTTGGTTTTACCTATAGGTTTTATCCGGACGAACATGCTCTTGTCCATCTTCGCCCGCTTCAATCTGATGTAATTCGATTCCTTTTGGGACAGCATCTTCCTCATCTGCATCTGTGCCTCGGGACTCAATCCGATCTTGTTCATCTCCTTCTCCAGCTGCATCCTCCTGAACATCCTTTGCCTGTAAGTGGAGGAATATGAAATGGACCGATTGAAAATCAACCGACCAACGAACAAAAATTTCTGTCTAAACGATTCTGTGAACATGAAAATCTTCAGATTTCTTTATCTAGAGAAGTATAATCTGGCTTCTGAAAGATGACCGCCGGAAAGAGTGCGAGCCAAGAGCACAACATAAATATTGCGATCATCAACTTACTGTTCATTCAAAAACGGAATCTCAAGCGCTAGCTACAAATGGTGGAATCAATTTGAAAGTGCAGTCGGTCATATCGTTCACGACGAAATCGACGTTATCTGCAAAATCGAATTGTTTAGATACTCTAGGGTCCGAGCACTGAACGCCTTCAACCTACCTTCTCTCCCTTTCCACCCCAAGTATTCGCGATGTTCTACGAACATAATAGGGATTCACTTTCATGAGATCCAAAAGATAAAAAGAAATTGTTTTCAACTGAATTGTCAGGTTTAGAATATTCCTACCGACTCTGACAACATCTTATTGAAATCGACTGCAAATATCATCTAGTTATGAGGCAACCAGGTTGTTGCCTCTGTTGGTCAATTTTCTACATAAGTATATTGATACTACGTCATTATCAATTGAATCAAATCTGGTAAGATCGATGTTTGATCGATTCTCTTAGAAGAATTGTCCATGTCATTCACTCAAGATAGATACATAGTAGAGTTACTATTGGTTGTATCAAATGTGATTAGATTGACCTTCAATTGACTATCCTTGCTTGGGAATTTCCCAAGTCATCTACTTACACAATTAACGACAGCACCAAATCTTCACATTATACTGAGCTGCAAGAGATGTCTTCATGTCACACACAACACCTTCCATCACCTATCAAACGTCAGTTTATGTATTTGTTGCCTTGTGGCACAATCACAATCGTTGAGTTGTTTGAAATGAGTGAAAACAGTGAGCCAACAGATTAATAGCAATATACTTTCAGAATCACTTCATTCCAAATAAGAGAGGATGCAAGTAAGTTATCAACGGAAGGAGTAATCCTACCGACTGCGCCAAATGTACTCCATTCTTGAACCATACTGCAAAAAAACTGGAAGTACATTCGAAATCCAGGTGGAAACGATATGTTGCGAAAAAATGATTATTTGTTCCATCGAACTCTCACCTGTACGACTTGATGACATTCTCGATGTGCTGCTCCATGAAGAACTTGAACGCCTGCGGCGAATAGTTCTTCACCTTGCCGTCCCTGCGCTCCTCCTCCTTCTCCTTGCTGATCTTCTTCCGCTCCGGTATGGGCGATTGGTGTTTGATTTTCACGTGGGGCGGCATGTGCGGCGGCACGTTGGGTGGCGGCCCGCCCTCGCCCGTGCCGTTGGTGGGCGGGTGGTGGTGGGCACATACGTTGTTGTTCTTGACGGAAGACGAAGCTGGAAACGAATTGATAATTGATGCCATGAATTAATTGATAAACTAAGGAATCAATTTATGAAGGAATATTGAGGAAACTGTTTTAAGAAAACTAGGAGAAGATTATTGGACATAGCCCTCAGGAAGAGTTAACCGTGGACACGTGTTTCGGGCTTTTGGCCCTCATCAGTACGGTGAAAGGAGCGCAAAAGATAGGCAACACTTGGTGGAAGACGAAAGCAACAAATCGACGGAGTCAACAAACAAGAAGCCAACCGCACATTTGTGGTTTCGGTCAGAAGACCCTGCTACAGGGCTACAACTAACGTCACCACGGAGGCAGCTATGGCTACCTGGGTGACATCTTCTCCTGGACTCGGATGTCACGCAGTTTGTTTGAATCAATTTATGATCAATATTAATTTAACGAATTAATTTTCGAACTTTAGATATATAAAAAGAGGGAAGACGAAAGTGTTTACTTTTTTCCCGATCCAACACCGTTTTCATCACAAAACGAAGATGACAAATTTCTGAGGATTGCACTAGATCTATCGTCTGTGTTTGAAAACGAGGGAAGCATTAATCATACATTAATCATATGATATTTTTCATGTATATTTATTCTGTGTTTGTTCTTCAATTAAAATATGTGAATTTTGCTATTGAAAATAATGTAAATTCTTCTAATTTCATAATTACATAAAATTATAATGTATTAAGGGAATAAGTGTGGCAACGCGGTATTGGCGTGTTTACTACTAGTTAGGTATATTTTTCTCAAAGTCATTCACATATTATGTCAAAAAAATTACAGTGCTTTTGTGCTGTGTTTGTTACCATTTAAGGACGTTTTGTGTATCCAATTGATTTCAGTGTTTCCTTGTTATAAAACTGTATGAAGACAATTATTAAAAATCTATTATGGTTCGTAAGTACGTGGGTTGTGATTGGTATTTCGACGGTCAGTAACGTTGTGTTTATTTTAACTTGAGCAGTGGTGTAGCCGGAATGTTAGTGTGAATATTAGTTTCCGTGTCAAGCTGATGACTTGATCATCATACCAAAGTGACAATTTTACTCTTTATTTCTCAACACGATAAGAATTTGAAAACAAAATCTTCTAAGGTTGAGAATTTGAACGGTGGAAACTTGTTATTTTTATAGACTTTCAATCGCAGATTCGTGATTAGGTTTCCTCAATTCAGAATTTCTTTCTACGTCCTGTATGATGACTAGCAATTTATCATACATAAAAAAACTTCTGAATTATTAATTATTGTTGATAAAAATAAAAAATCATGCTTTTTTAAAACACTTGTATCTTCTCTTAGAAAGTGGTTATCGACGTGAATCAAAAACCATTGTGTTAAGAATCTATCACACTTCAAACCCAAGCATTCCGAGTAGAAAGTCTGCATTCGGAAATGAAATTAAAAACGTTGCTTTCTGGCCTTCGTAAGGCGCGATAGCAGCGCGTTTTTTCTTTCTTTACTTTCTTAGATTCTTAGTATACCAGGGGCAAGGGCGCCCTCCCGCCCTCCGGGCCAGTCCGCCCCTGGGTGTAGTTATCGCAGGTTATTCAACTAGATTATTGCAAGAAACCTTGTTTTTTTTGTTCAAATTCCAATGAATGATAGATCAAAATTAGTTAAGTACCTAATGTACTACGAATATTTGGTATTAAAATTGAAAGATTTGACCCATACATTTTTCAATAGGTATAGTTAGCGTTGTCATCCTAGTATTGTCTTGGCCCTCGGCTTAATCTACGCGACTGGTAAAGAAAGGTATGAACATTGACGCACAGTTTACAGCGTTGCCATTTTTTAAAGCCATCTGTTTCTAGCTAAACGAAACTAAACAAATAGGGTTTAATGAATAAAATTTAAAAGTCGCGAAAATTCCTGAAAATTGCAAAAATTGCAAAAATTCCTGAGAATTGCAAATATCACAAAAATGACTGAAAATTACAAAAATTGCAAAAATTCCTGAAAGTTGCAAAAATTCCTGAAAATTGTAAAAATCGCAAAAATTCCTGAAAATTACAAAAATTGCAAAAATTCCTGAAAATTGTAAAAATCGCAAAAATTCCTGAAAATTGCAAAAATTGCAAAAATTCCTGAAAATTGCTAAAATTGCAAAAATTCCTGAAAATTCCAAAAATCGCAAAAATTCCTGAAAATTGCAAAAACTGCAAAAATTCCTGAAAATTGCAAAAATTCCTGAAAATTGCTAAAATTGCAAAAATTCCTGAAAATTCCAAAAATCGCAAAAATTCCTGAAAATTGCAAAAATTGCAAAAATTCCTGAAAATTGTAAAAATCGCAAAAATTCCTGAAAATTGCAAAAATTGCAAAAATTCCTGAAAATTGCTAAAATTGCAAAAATTCCTGAAAATTCCAAAAATCGCAAAAATTCCTGAAAATTCCAAAAATCGCAAAAATTCCTGAAAATTGCAAAAACTGCAAAAATTCCTGAAAATTGTAAAAATCGCAATTGCAATTTTCAGGAATTTTTGAAATTTTTGCAATTTTCAGGAATTTTTGCAATTTTCAGGAATTTTTGCAATTTTTGCTATTTCTGCAATTTTCAGTCATTTTTGTGATTTTTGCAATTTTCAGGCATTTTTACGATTTTCGCAATTTTCAGGAATCTTTGCAACTTTTGCTATTTCTGCAATTTTCAGTCATTTTTGTGATTTTTGCAATTTTCAGGCATTTTTACGATTTTTGCAATTTTCAGGAATTTTTGCAATTTTTGCAATTTTCAGGAATTTTTGCGATTTTTGCAATTTTCAGGAATTTTTGCAATTTTTGTGATTTTCAGGAATTTTTGCGATATTTACAATTTTCAGTCATTTTTGCGATTTTTGCAATTTTTAGTCATTTTTGCGATTTTTGCAATTTTCAGGAATTTTTGCGATTTTTGCAATTTTCAGTCATTTTTGCGATTTTTGCAATTTTCAGGAATTTTTGCGATTTTTGCAATTTTCAGTCATTTTTGCGATTTTTGCAATTTTCAGGAATTTTCGCGATTTTTGCAATTTTCAGGAATTTTTGCGATTTTTGCGATTTTCAGGCATTTTTGCAATTTTCAGGCATTTTTGCGATTTTTAGGAATTTTTACGATTTTTGCAATTTTCAGTCATTTTTGCGATTTTTGCAATTATCAGGAATTTTTGCGATTTTTGCAATTTTCAGTCATTTTTGCGATTTTTGCGATTTTCAGTCATTTTTGCGATTTTTGCAATTTTCAGTCATTTTTGCGATTTTGCCAATTTTCAGTCATTTTTGCGATTTTTGCAATTTTCAGTTATTTTTGCGATTTTTGCAATTTTCAGGAATTTTTGCGATTTTCGCAATTTTCAGGAATTTTTGCGATTTTTGCAATTTTCAGGAATTTTTGCGATTTTTGCAATTTTCAGTCATATTTGCGATTTTTGCTATTTTCAGGAATTTTTGCGATTTTTGCAATTTTCAGGAATTTTTGCGATTTTTGCAATTTTCAGTCATTTTTGCGATTTTTGCAATTTTCAGTCATTTTTGCGATTTTTGCAATTTTCAGTCATTTTTGCGATTTATGCAATTTTCAGGAATTTTTGCGAATTTTGCAATTTTCAGTCATTTTTGCGATTTTTGCAATTTTCAGTCATTTTTGCGATTTTTGCAATTTTCAGTCATTTTTGCGATTTTTGCAATTTTCAGGAATTTTTGCGAATTTTGCAATTTTCAGGAATTTTTGCGATTTTTGCAATTTTCAGTCATTTTTGCGATTTTTGCAATTTTCAGTCATTTTTGCGATTTTTGCAATTTTCAGGCATTTTTGCAATTTTTGCAATTTTCAGTCATTTTCGCGATTTTTGCAATTTTCAGTCATTTTTGCGATTTTTGCAATTTTCAGTCATTTTTGCGATTTTTGCAATTTTCAGGAATTTTTGCTATTTCCAGGAATTTTTGCGATTTTTGCAATTTTCAGTCATTTCTGCGATTTTAGCAATTTTCAGGAATTTTGCGATTTATGCAATTTTCAGTCATTTTTGCGATTTTTGCTATTTTCAGGAATTTTTACAATTTTTGTAATTTTCAGGAATTTTTGCGATTTTTGCAATTTTCAGGAATTTTTGCGATTTTTGCAATTTTCAGTCATTTTTGCGATTTTTGCAATTTTCAGGAATTTTTGCTATTTTCAGGAATTTTTGCGATTTTTGCAATTTTCAGTCATTTTGGCGATTTTTGCAATTTTCAGTCATTTTTGCGATTTTTGCAATTTTCAGTCATTTTTGCGATTTTTGCAATTTTCAGGAATTTTTGCGAATTTTGCAATTTTCAGTCATTTTTGCGATTTTTGCAATTTTCAGTCATTTTTGCGATTTTTGCAATTTTTGCGATTTTTGCAATTTTCAGGAATTTTTGCTATTTTCAGGAATTTTTGCGATATTTGCGATTTTCATGCATTTTTGCGAATTTTGCAATTTTCAGTCATTTTTGCGATTTTTGCAATTTTCAGGAATTTTTGCGATTTTTGCAATTTTCAGTCATTTTTGCGATTTTTGCAATTTTCAGTCATTTTTGCGAATTTTGCAATTTCAGTCATTTTTGCGATTTTTGCAATTTTCAGTCATTTTTGCGATTTTTGCAATTTTCAGGAATTTTTGCGAATTTTGCAATTTTCAATTTCTGCGATTTTTGCAATTTTCAGGAATTTTTGCTATTTTCAGGAATTTTTGCGATTTTCGCAAATTTCAGTCATTTTTCGCGATTTTTGCAATTTTCAGGAATTTTTGCTATTTTCAGGAATTTTTGCGATTTTTGCAATTTTCAGTCATTTTGGCGATTTTTGCAATTTTCAGGAATTTTTGCGATTTTTGCAATTATCAGTCATTTTTTGCGATTTTGCAATTTTCAGGAATCTTTGCGATTTTTGCAATTTTCAGGAATTTTTGCTATTTTCAGGAATTTCTGCTATTTTCAGGAATTTTTGCGATTTTTGCAATTTTCAGTCATTTTTGCGATTTTTG